AGTTGAATTGCAACTTATCAATATGCTTTAACACCAATCCACTCTCCGACATCTCCATCTTATCTAACTGAAACTCTATGTCAGTTGCCATTTGATTTAACTTTTGGGGGGGTTCATCTTCATTGGTGATGTTATATCTTCTACTCCTGATGCTCTCCCTTATCTCTTCGTTAGTTTTCTTGCTCTTCATAGTGGCGGAAACCTGTAAAATAACTTTCATACCCTTGTGTTTCATCAAATACTCTTTCAACCTTAAATCTTGGTATTTGAGATACTGTAGCGCCTTGATGCCTCTAACTCTGACATTTGTGATGGCAAATGAATTGACATAACCCTTGAAAGCAGATTGTTCGTTGGTGGTGGTTGCTTTGTATCTCATTTGGATGCCTGTGAGTGCTTTGTTCTTGTCAAGATTGACCCATCTAATGCCTCTCTTCTCGTTCAGTTCATACTTTTTGTAGTCCATAGTCTGCTTAATCTTGTTGAACTTGGTAATCAACCTCTTTGAAATGGGTTTTCCCCTTTCAAAGTTGTAGGTCTTGTCTCCAATCTTGAGTTTCTTGAGTTCCTGTCCATTCCGTTTCAATATCTCACCCTGTTCGGATGACAAAAGATAATCTAAAACAATCTGCTGTGAAGTGTCCATTATAGTATATTCTATATTATTATTAGTGGATGTTTCTTTAAGTAGTTTTTCAGTTTCCATTGTTTGTTGAGGATGTTGCGGTTGATTGGATTGGTTGTCTGATTGATTTTTAACATAAAATGTCTCTGTTGAATGTTTCAACCTTGTATCCTCTGCCATTTACTCCTTACCCTATACGGTGGCATTTCTTTAAGTAGTTTTGGGTATTGGTTGCCTGTTGGAATTTCTGGGATTGGGGTTGGACTTCAACATAAAAACCTTCTCAATAAAAATGTTTGTTATTGAGAAAATTTTGGATTGGAAAACCCTTTGAACGAAACGTGCCGTAAGGTGTCTTAAAGCACCTTTCAACATTGGCATCTGTTTCTCATACAAACGTTGGTTTGACGGTGTTTGGATAAATTGGATTTGGACGAAATGGTGCGTCCGCAGTCGGGACACTTCAAGGGTGTTGAGAGTTTCTTTTGATAGTATTTTGAGAAGTATTCGGGGTCTAATGATTTGCTGTCATAAGTTCCATCGGGTTTCCATCTTGTAGAGGCTTGGATTGGGGGTTCTTGGACTGTTTCTGGATTGAGTGCTTCAACAAGTTGGTCAAAGATGTCCTCATCCATTTCTTGTTTCTTACCATCAATTACTAAATAGCAGGGCATATCAAATCTTAATTACATAAGGCGACTTGTCTTTAAGTATCTTTGGGGTGTTCTGTGTTCGCAAATGAGGTGTCCCAAAATGATGTGAAAAGAAATTCGAAAAGACCAGTTTAGGACACTTGTTGAATACTGTTCCTGCCGCTGTCAAAGTTGTTAGAATGCCATTGTCGTTGTTGCAGCTTGTTGGGAAACTGCAACTGCATTGCCTTCAGTTGAAGTTAGCAGTATGGCGAAGCCTCATTACCCAAAAAACATGCTCATCTGCCATCAACTCCCGCAGGGCGGATGGTTTGTCTCTCTTCGTTTCCACGAAAAACAACTTGAACTATTTCATCACATATGCCTATATATATATACTACACATAATAAACATTAACCCTGCCACACCGTCCCAACCCGTTGGATGCTCCAGACCACTCCGACGAAACTTGATTTCCCTGAAGAAACAAGATGAACAAATCGGGAGGATTAAAGGGTCTGTGGGTTTGCGCGGGTGTGTGGTGCATATGAACCAATACATGCTCAAGGGGTATGGACAGAATGCTCCCCCAAAAGATTGCTAAATTAATCATCACCAACGTCAAGTTTTGGAGACTGCTTGGAAATGTCATTCCAGCAAATCTTTGCTTGGATTTTCACCGAAACAATCAGGTTTTGAAGGCTGTTTGAATAGTTCGCTGCTTCAAGGCTTTGATAGAACCCGTTTCCAAAATCTTGCATTATGACAAATGCTGGGATTGACCTTCTAATAGATGGTGTCCCTGATGTCTTCACAACCTTGGCGCGGACGCATTCGGCAAGTGGAAGAGGGCAATTGGATGCAATTGGATACAGTAAAGCAGTGAAAAGTGGTTGATATCATCACCAAACTTCTGGGCCTGAAGAATGCTACATTTGAGAGTGCCAATCCAACAACTGCGAAACAAACCAATCTTCAATCTCTGTCATTTCATTTCACTTTTGCTCATCCAGTCTTGGAACACTGTGCAGTCTGTCCCACCGGTGCATTGTGCAGCGCAGATAGAATGCATCCCGGATTGAAGGGTAGGTGCAACCCCAATAAAAATCATCACCTTTCTGTGTTTTGCCAGTCTGGTTGGACGCAATGCGGATTGCACCATCCATGAATCACGAATGGCACCTTCAGTGCATAACGGATTGCACCCGACCTGCAATCCAAAAGTCCTACTCGTCCTACAAGGAACAAAGCACTCTCATTCACACGCCACTGCCACTTCCGCCTTCAGACCTTCTTCAAAAGGTCATGCACTGTGCGGGACACTGCGCAGTAGCGTCGCCCCTCTGCCCGCGCATCCACATAGATGCAATGAGCGCTTCGGTTCCGCACTGCTCTCGCCACGTCCGCAGGCGTGAAGTGCTTCATGAACCGCTTGGCATCGACACACTGCTCGAAGGAGCTATGCGCCACGGCCTTGGCCAAGGTGCGTGCCATCCTCGCCTTTTCGGGGCCAAAGCCACCTTGGTTGTCAATGCCCAAGAACTTCTCGACCTGATATTCTTGCACCACAAGCCGTTTGGACTTTGCTTCTTCCCATGATGTCTCTTTGGCCTTTTCCGCCACGTCCTGCAGGAGATGTGGGCAAGTTTCAAGGTTTCAAGGTTCGTTGATGTTTCGGGTTGTTGTCCCATGGTTTCATGACCCTTGTCCTCCATTACACCGATGTTGCCACCTGTGAGTTGAATCATGTCGCTCTTGTGCGTGGAGGCCTCTTCACCGCCATGATGACGTAGGAATTCCTCAACCTGACAAGGAGACGTCCATCTGCAAACATCCCAACCCATGCCAGAAGTAGCACCAACAAAAAGCACTAAAGTGATTGAAGGTGACTGAACAACTACCACATGAACTGAAGCTCTTCATTATGGCCTCCTTCTGCGAGAGCTCTTCACTCGTCAGTGGTGGAACGAAGAATCGGCGCTCACGACCGTCTGCGTCAAAAGCCATGGCTGACTCTGCAGAACTGACCATCACCAGCACTTTGGCGACCGTGTCATCAAAGCCCCATGACTTTGCAAAGGCGGAGACGCTGCTCATCACATCTGGATTAAAGACACCACGAGGAACTTCAAGGATGATGATGGGTTGCCGTCCCATTTCTTGTTTGGCATCTCTCAAGCCACGCATCATCTCCTCTTCATGGAGCACTGCCAACCTGCTCCTCAATGCGTCCTTGGCCAAGTCGTTGTTCTGCATGAGCTTGATGTGGAGCACTCCATTGTTCCACTGCTTCTCCTGCAAGACTTTCCAAAGGATGGTGCTCTTGCCCACTTCATGATTCCCCCAGATGAGGATTGGGCGGGGGTCGTCCAAGTCCAATAACTGGTGCAGTTCGTCCTGCTACAGTGCATAGTGAGCATAGTGCATCAAATTCAAAATGCCAATATGACATGGAATAACACCATCTCAATAACAAATCCCTTCTGTCAAGAAACACACAGGCAAACACAACAAAAAAAAAGGTGGTGCTTGGACGCCTTGATTATCTTCCGTTCAATCTTGACACGTGGCTCGCGTGCTTTGAAAGAGGCATTCACAATGATATTCTTCACTCGCTCTTGTTCTTGACGATGCCGTTCTTGTTCTTGACGATGCCGTTCTTGTTCTTGACGATGCCGTTCTTGTTCTTGACGATGCTGCCACATGTCCCATCCAAAGGTCACGATGGCCAACGAGCCACCACCACCAACCAACCACTTTCCAATCTGCTGTTTCGTGGTCGGCTCCTTCTCTGGAGCGTTGTTTGAGAAGCAACGGTGGTTTCGTCGGCCTGACATGAGAAGCCGAAAACCACAAAACCACAACATCGGGCAATGAGGCAACGCGACATACCCATGGCGGAAATCTCCAGAACTGGGACTGTGCTGGAGCTCAAGCACTTTACGATTTCTTGATGCGTTGACTTGTTCATAGTGCAACACATGCCGCAAGTAGAACTCATCTTATCTTGTGAGCATTTGTGAGCCTGTCTGCTGCGGGAGAAAGCAATCAACATCTCTGGGTGTAGTGTAATGCCACAATGTGTACATAGAGTGTACATAGTGCCTCAAGAAACGCAATATGTCCTCAAAAGTGATGCTTCCATGCAAACGAAACAGCGCGCACATCTCATCTGGGCGCCCCCGACGAAATCCAGAAAGTCCATGAAGAAGTCCGCAAAAAATGAGGCGAAGCGAAAGACGTTCAAATCAAAACACAACCAAGAAAAAACGCCCAAAAAAGACGAGAATGAGAGAATAAAAAATGAAAGATGTTGAAAGACATGGAACCTTTTGAAAGATATCAAGTTGAATGTTCTGTCTTGAAACTGATGATAAGGAAACACAATAAAATCATACCCAAAAAAAGACGAGACATACCTTGACAATAAAAAACGACAACCACAAGTACACTATCCACAGTATCTCCCTCATCTGAACCAAAACACAAACCCCAACAGCCTAAACAAATCCTACCCTCATCTGAACCAAACATTGACACATCACTTTAGCATCAAAATGACCCCCAAAACCCCACCTGAAAAATCATCAAAACCAAGGATGAAACATTGAACCCCAACACAAAATCATAACAAGCAACATACCAACATACACGCCCTGAAACCCCCATTTTACCATTTTTTCCCAGCTTTCTTCATCAATTTTTGATTTTGGACCCACTCCCATTCCATGCTCAAACGCACCTGACATTGCAGAAGAGGATTGTACAAAGCAAAGAACCTCGGGAGACCAAGAAAGTGGCGCTGGGCACAACCCGCTGGAGAAAATTCCGACCCATCCGTAGCAACGTGCCGCCATAGCAACTCGTCGTAGTTCGCCAAAAGCCACGGACCTGATACCTCAACAAAGGCGGCAAATCGTGGCAAGATACAATAGCATCAGCAGTGTCAGCAGCATATCATTTTACCCTTCCTGCCATTTCTCCAATCTGCAGCAACTGCAAGAGTATCTACCAAAAACTCAACGAGCCATCGGAAACTATCGCCTCCTTGTGCTCAAGCATAGCCGTTCGAAGAGTGTAGATCCTTTGGAGCGTCATGGTCCGCTGGCAGAAGGCCTGTCAAGTACCCCCATATCCGGGCCACTGAGAATCAGACGCATCTGCTGCCACATCAATACAATGATGTCGAGCATAGCCTCGCCCATCAGACTGCATGAAAGCAAAGAACGGCGAAGAGAAGCAAACAAGTCTGGCGCGATTTGTGTGTGAGGACTAGAGGAACACCACTGACAGGTTCCAAGTTATAAGAAACGTGTGCCCAGCAACAGGTTTACTGCAAGTTTGAAGGCCTGGGAACTTCACACTGCTTTATCTAAGCATGCGACCAATCAGCTCAAACGCCTTTCCGCTTGTTAAAAAAGTCTCAACCTTGCCGTGCTGTGCTCAGGAGCAACGGACCAGAATTGCCGCGGAAAATAGCAGACACTTCACATGCTTCCGAAGCTACAAATTGCCTCAAATCTATCTGACTGTATGTGAATTGGCCAAAGCTATGGTGTGCAAGAAATATCAGAAACGTAACTTCCACATGCTTCGATCTGTTCATCCAAGAGACAAGTTGCCCATAGCGAAAGAAAGAGCGAAGAACCGCACCAGAGAAGAGTGCAGCCTCCCACCAGAGGCCAACTAAACTGCCATTTATCATTGCTCAAAACGGACAGAGTCTCAAGATGTCTCAAGACTCTGAGGCAGCATGAAAAGCTACCCTACATTCATGTTCATCGCCTTCCGCCTTTCGCATTTCAACGTTCACCCCTCACCTCCTCGTTGGCATAGCTGTCCATCAACTTGTTGAAGAGAGTTGGGTGAAACCGGACATACTCCATGACCTGTAGCAGGACAGTGTTTTACCAGAGAAAACAAGAGGAAGTCAGAAAGGAGAATGCAATGGATTTTTTCCTGATCAAGGCCGGAATTGAGCAAAAAATATAGCTTGCCAAATCTTTCCTTGCCAAAATTCTAGTTTGATAGTCAGGACAAGCTTCACCTAGCCTGGGCAGCCACCTCTTCGGGCAGGTCCGGCCAAAGGAGGGCACAGCAAACGTTCATGACATCCTGAGGATCAGAGAGAAAAAACATGAAAAGACTACCCGGTTTATTTGACATCTCCAGAAATCTTTGCTGTGGAATCATGGCCTCACTTAGCCGACTTAGCCAATCAGTTGGTCTCCCAGCCTTCCGAACTTCGAAGTCCAGAGTTGTCATCTGAGAGAGCAGCTGCACCTGCTTCCCACAGGTTGACCGTGGAACTGGCGTACAGAGCTACCTAGTAGAAATTGCTTCATCTTTGGATCAAAGGGTTGCTCAATGCTTCCAACTCTACTAGAAAAGGCCATTGTTGGAACTTTAGCCACTTTAGCAATTGCAGCATCTGCTTGTAACAAAGTTTTTCGCCATGCAACACATTCCCCTGGGGTTGCTGCAGGCAAATCAGCAGCCAAAAACTGCTCCAGCACATGCAGCTGCTCCTGAGTGACCTGCAGACTCTTCATGAGGATACCTACAACTCTTGTGGCTGTTCTCCTCTTCCCACCTTGTTTCAAAGAAAATGTGCCAAGGTCCATTAAGATCCATCAAGTCTATATCAATATGTTGCAAACAATTCCAATTCACACAGTTTCACTGATCTGCTTTCTACATTGCGTAGCCATCATACGTCTGCCTTGGCTCGTCCGTGCAAAACGTCGTTCTTCCCACAGGTCTCAGAAAGCTCCTGAAGGCCAACATCTTCGTGCAGTGCTTTCACAGTTTCCACAATTTTCACAAGTTATATATGTCAGTAGGATTCAACCGGCACCCCATTTTGTGCGCGGACAAATCATGCCACCAGATCGCTTCTGGACTCTGAAGATCACCAACGGCAACACGGCCACTTCTATGTACAGTAGGTCTTGGCTTTGAAAAGCTGTCTACACAGGGACTTGAGGACTTTTGAAAAGAGGCGATCTTCATGTGCAACACGGAACTCGTTCACCATCACCTTTTCCTTTGCCAGTCCCTGTGCAGCAAGCTACTGATTGCTCAAGTCATCATTGGCAGTAGCACTGCTCACAGTTTCCAACCTCACCAGCAACAAACGATGAAAAACATTACAAGAAAAAGGGCAATCGACTGCAATATCACGCAAGAATAGTGGAGATAAGCGGAGAAGTAAAAACGATGTAGAAAAGGAGCAAACCAAGAAGGAGGAAGGAAGAAAAAAGAAACAAAAAAGAAAGAGAACGAAGCAGTTTGTTGGCCAGATTTCTTAGGAGTGTTTGTGGGCATCACCTGTGTGTGTGTGTCTACTACCAAGCATGATGGTTCTGACTACCCTTCCAAGGATGTCAGACGTGTTACATACACGAATTCATATCTCGCACAAAAGCTTTACCATCCGTTTTGCTCACATTTCTACACAAGACCTGATTTGTTTCTTTTTTCGTCGCCTCTCAGCACGCGATAAAATTCCAGTCCACCTGAATCCCGTGATGTGGGGGAAATTGACTCTTATTTTCAACAAATTCAAAATATACAGCACAAAGGCGCTGAAACAAGTGTGCAATCAGCCCAGAGGCTAGGATACATACATTTGAAGCAACGGATATTTTTTTGAAAGTTGTTTGCGCTAGGTGCCTCTGTATAAGGACTTCAAACGAAAAAATAAAAATAAAAAGAAAAGGCAAAGAGATGCCAAGGGACAAGAAACGCGCAACCTCAAAAGATTGACGTTCTGATTTGCCTGGGGCCTCACTGCGCCCACTGTGGTTTTACCAGCTTGATATGGCAACCTCCACGAGATATATTCGAAGGAAGTTTAGAAGTCAAACTTCCGACAACATTCGCAGATGAAAATCAGAGATGGGAAGAGTCGAGTCAGCTATCAAAAAAAAATTAAAGTCATCAAAAAGAAATTTAATTTCCCATCAAAAAAAATTAAACTCATCAAAAAAATATTCCCTCATATCCTGGCCTGCGCAAGCCAAACGCAAAATACAAGCATCATGAAGTCTGTGCATTGCATCATCAAAAAAAATATGTTTAAATTATTTTTTGATGATTTAAATTTTTTTGGGGGGTCATTGGTAAAACAATTATTGCTAGCAGAAAAAGTATATTAAAAAAGGAATATACTTGGGAGGGACGGTTGGGTGGGCTTGGTCGACGCCGACATGTACGAGTCATCGCACAAGGAACACGTATTGGTTCGCAAGCTGTTCAATAACGAGGCACTGGGCCAAACAACATTGAATCCAATGGGCTACAAAAACCATTCTTTCCATCATGTTTTCCAGGCACGGGTGGGTGGGCCTGCTGTATACGGAAGCTTGCACAACAACGCACGGCTACGCGATGAAGTACGCTTGAAAAAGGCCAAAGAGCCAAAAGCCAAATGGCCAGAGGCCAATAGGTCAAGCCTGGCGCTAAAACCCAGAGGAAGTAGCAGGAGGACAGTAGACGAAGCTGAGCAGGTTGGCTGCGACAGGTTTGGTAATGCCAAGAAAGATGAGAACGTGCGGGAATCGAACTTCCATGCGTGTAAGTTACCTGGCCCAGCGACCAAGCGTACCCAATTCCCAGGACCTAGCGTTCGAGCCACACAGCCCTACTTGCAAGGCAGCTGAGTCGTTGGGCCACCGGGCCACCAGTTCCAGGCCCCCACACAGCAATGGTCAGCTGCCATTCCCATTTTGACTTGCAAAGGTGTATGTCTACTATGTTGGAATGGACGCAATGTAGGTGGGCCTTATCATGACACATTCATTCGCAATGTGGGTGGGCCTTATCATCCACCTTTCTGGCGTTGTCACAAGCCGCGGGCATGGCTTTAAAATAAAAAGGCGGGAGGGGGGCGCGGGAGGGGGGCGCAGCGCCTCCCCCCGCAAAGCGTCACATGAGTGGTGTCCACAGGATTACTCTATACCTCCCTTGAGCCTTGACAGCGTATATAAATATGCTCAATACTCATGCAGTACCCACGTAGGATTCAAGTTAAAACAAAAACCAGGGTGCAGCGCCTCCCCCCAACAGAACAGTATAGGTGGGCCGTATCATCCACCTTTGTGGCGTTGTCACAGCACAGAAACAAACCAAGCATGTTAGCTGGTTGCCTGGTTGGTTGGTTGTTTGGTTGCTTGGCTGGTTCGCTTCTTCGCTGTCTTGGTTGTAGTCGTTTGGTGTGTGTGTGTGTGCGTGCGTTCAACCGAACCAAACTAACAAAAGGTTGACAAAACAAGAGCCATACAGGCCTCCCTCCTGGACATGCATCGGGCACCAGTGCCATGTTCCTGAAAAAGACACCAATGCGCCTCCCCCCGCAAAGCGTCACATGAGTGGTGTCTACAGGATTACTCTATACCTCTCTTGAGCCTTGACAGCGTATATAAATATGCTCAATACTCATGCAGTACCCACGTAGGATTCAAGTTAAAACAAAAACAAGGGCGCAGCGCCTCCCCCCAACAGAACAGTATAGGTGGGCCGTATCATCCACCTTTGTGGCGTTGTCACAGCACAGAAACAAACCAAGCATGTTAGCTGGTTGCCTGGTTGGTTGGTTGTTTGGTTGCTTGGCTGGTTCGCTTCTTCGCTGTCTTGGTTGTAGTCGTTTGGTGTGTGTGTGTGCGTGCAACCGAACCAAAATAACAAAAGGTTGACAAAACAAGAGCCATACATGTGGCCTCCCCCTGGACATGCATCGGGCACCAGTGCCATGTTCCTGAAAAAAGCACCAACGCGCCTCCCCCCGCAAAGCGTCACATGAGTGGTGTCTACAGGATTACTCTATACCTCTCTTGAGCCTTGACAGCGTATATAAATATGCTCAATACTCATGCAGTACCCGCGTAGGATTCAAGTTAAGACAAAAACAAGGGCGCAGCGCCTCCCCCCAACAGAACAGTATAGGTGGGCCGTATCATCCACCTTTGTGGCGTTGTCACAGCACAGAAACAAACCAAGCATGTGGGCTGGGTGGCTAGTTGGCTGGTCAGTTGCTCGGTTGCTCGGTTGCTTGGTTGGTTCGCTTTGTATGTTTGGTGTTTTCAACTATAACCAAAGTAACTCAACAAGAGCCACATGTTTGGCCTCCCCCCCTGGAAATGCCTTGGGTCACATGATCATGACACATTCATTCGCAATGTAGGTGGGCCTTATCATCCACCTTGCTGGCGTTGTCACAAGCCGCGGGTGGGGCTTTCAAATATAAAAAGGCGGGAGGGGGGCGCGGGGGGAGCGCCTCCCCCCGCAAAGCGTCACATGGTCATGATACATTCATTTGCAATGTAGGTGGGCCTTATCATCCACCTTTCTGGCGTTGTCACAAGCCGCGGGGGGGGGGTTAAATAAAAAGGCGGGAGGGGGGCAGCGCCTCCTTATCATCCACCTTTCTGGCGTTGTCACAAGCCGCGGGGGGGGGGTTAAATAAAAAGGCGGGAGGGGGGCATCCCCCCGCAAAGCGTCACATGAGTGGTGTCCACAGGATTACTCTATACCTCTCGTGAGCCTTGACAGCGTATATAAATATGCTCAATACTCATGCAGTACCCACGTAGGATTCAAGTAAAAAAAAAACAGGGCGCGGCGCCTCCCCCTTGCAAAGCGTCACATGGTCATGATACATTCATTCGCAATATAGGAAAGATAGAATAAAAAGGAAAAGATAGGATAAGATAGGGTAAGATAGGAAAAGATAGGGTAAGATAGGGTAAGATAGAGTAAGATAGGGTAAGATACATAGAAAGACAAATAGATAGATAGAAAGAAAGATAGATTGATTGATTGATTGATTGAGATATAGATATAGACATAGACGTAGGTGTAGATGTGGAGCCGAAGGAGCCATAAGAGCGAAAAGCCACAGGAGCCGAAGGAGCCATAGGAGCCGAAGAAGCCAGAGGAGCCGGAGGAGCCATGTACCAAAGAAGCTAAAAGACAAGCAGCCAGAAGCCAAAAAGCCAAGAAGCCACGAAGCCACCAGGAGCCACCAGGGACACAGGAGCCGAAGAAGCCACAGAAGCCAGGAGCCACACAGGGAACTATAGGAGCCACCAGGAACCAAGGAGAAAAAAAAAGAAACAAATTAAATTACCCTCCCTCATTTTTTTGGGGGTCCTTAATGTTTCCTTGCTAACTTCCAACAATCTCCCGATAACATGGGTTTCGTTTTTGGTCCTAAAATAGCCCGTCTACCACTGGTCAGGTACATCCTTTCATTCGAAAGCTAGCTTGTATTTGTAAAGAATGGCAATTTGTATGCTTCCTTCCCTGCTTTTCCTCCTTCATTTCCTCCTTCCTTTCTTTTCCTTCCCTCTTTCCTTCCCTCTTTCCTTCCCTCTTTCCTTCCCTCTTTCCTTTCCTCTTTCCTTTCTTTCCTTTCCTCTTTCCTTTCCTCTTTCCTTTCCTCTTTCCTTTCCTCTTTCCTTTCTTTCCTTTCTTTTCTTTTCCTTTCTTTTCCTTTCTTATCCTTTCTTTTCCTTTCTTTTCCTTTCTTTTCCTTTCTTTTCCTTTCTTTTCCTTTCTTTTCCTTTCTTTTCCTTTCTTTCCCTGTCTTCCCCTCCTTCCCTCCTTCCCTCCTTCCTTCCCTCCTCCCTCCCTCCCTCCCTCCGTCCTTCCTTTCCTGCTTCCTTTCCTTCCTTCCTTTCCTTGCTTCCCTTCTTTCATTCCTTCCTTCCTTTCCTTGCTTCCCTTCCTTCCTTCCTTCCTTCATTCCTTCCTTCCTTTCCTGCTTCCCTTCTTTCATTCCTTCCTTCTTTCCTTCCTTCTTGCTTCCTTTCTCTCCTTCCTTCCTTCCTTCCCTTCCTTCCTGCTTCCCTTCTTTCATTCCTTCCTTCCTTTCCTGCTTCCCTTCTTTCCTTCCTTCCTTTCTTGCTTCCTTTCTCTCCTTCCTTCCTTCCTTCCTTCCTTCCTTCCTTTCCTGCTTCCCTTCTTTCCTTCCTTCCTTCCTTTCTTGTTTCCCTTCTCTCCTTCCTTCCTTCCTTCCTTTCCTGCTTCCCTTCTCTCCTTCCTTCCTTCCTTCCTTCCTTCCTTTTCTTTCCTTTATTTAAATTTCTTTTTGATGATTTATTTTTTTGATGAATTAATT